TATATCTACTTAGCTACTTATCTCTTTAAGTATATACTAGTTACTAGAATCTTATCTTAATTATTAAGTATATTATAGTACTTATTATATAAATTAATATTACTAGGGAGTATCTATAGTTTATAAGAACTTCTATTAAACTTCTTTAGTAGTAACGTGTTCCACGGGCGAGCGCCGCACACGGGCGAGCGCCGCACCCCACCAACCTCACACACCTCTCTCATCTTATTGTACAATGGCTCAACGCAGCGCTACCCTATTAGCTTCAAATGAATCAGATATTCAGCTTGCTATCTCTTCAATCAATTCTAAGCAGGTTCTAAGTAATCGGAGTGCTGCTGCTATCTACAGCGTGTCTGAACGAACGATCCGCCGCCGACGCGCTGGCGTCCCTGCGCGACGCGATTGCCAGCCCAACTCAAAGAAGCTAACCCAGCTAGAAGAGGAGGTGATTGTTAGCTATATACTCGATCTAGATCAGCGTGGATTCGCGCCTACGTACGCAGCCGTGCGCGATATGGCTGATAAGCTGCTAGCTACGCGTAGTGGAGGGCGCGTTGGAGTCAACTGGCCGTCTACCTTTGTTAAGCGTACAGACAGCCTTACGACGCGTTTCAACCGAGCGTACGACAGGCAGAGAGCTCTATGTGAAGATCCAGTCCTAATTAAGAGCTAGTTTGAGCTTGTAGAGCAGACAAAGGCCAAGTACGGCATCTGCGACGAAGACGTCTACAACTTTGACGAAGCTGGCTTTATGATGGGCAAGATTACAACTCAGCTTGTTATTACAGCTTCAGAGAGGAGAACACGGCCAAAATCTATTCAGCCAGGTGGTCGTGAGTGGGTAACATTTATCGCTGGGATCAACGCGGCTGGCTGGGCTATCCCACCGTTTCTTATCTTTACTGGCAAACATCACCTATCTGCCTGGTACGAGGAGGCAGAGGTCCCGCGCGACTGGGTGATCGCAGTCAGTGACAATGGCTGGACGAATAATGAGCTAGGCGTTGCATGGATAAAGCACTTCGACGCTCATACGAAGACTCGCGTTATTGGTACACGTCGTCTACTTATCCTTGACGGCCATGAGAGCCACCAATCTCTTGAGTTCCAAGAGTTCTGTCAGAAGAACAATATCTACACTCTCTGTATGCCGCCTCATTCGTCTCATCTACTCCAGCCTCTTGACGTTGGCTGCTTCTCGCCATTGAAGCGCGCGTATAGCCGCGAGGTAGAGAGCCTCATTCGCCATCACATCAATCACATTACCAAGCTTGAGTTTCTACCAACGTTTAAGACGGCCTTTGATCGATCCTTCACGCCAGCCAATATCTACTCAGCTTTTCGAGGCGCAGGCCTTGTTCCTCTCCAGCCAGACGCTGTTCTATCAAAGCTTGACGTGCAGCTACGTACGCCTAGTCCTCCAGCTGCTCTTATAGAGGCTCTCTGGCAGGCTCGTACACCAAGTAACGTACGTGAGCTAGAGGCTCAATCAACGTTAATAAGCGAGCGCGTTCGAAAGCACCAGAGCTCATCACCAGCTTCAATTATTGCGGCGATTAATCAGCTTAAGAAGGGGGCTGAGATAATGATGCTCTCGGCTGAGCTAATGCGCGATCGAATTGCCAGCCTTGAGAGAGCTAATACAGCAGTATCAGAGCGTAGAAAACGTAAGAAAAAGCGGATACAGAAGCAAGGAGTCCTCTCAAAGGGAGCTGGCGAGGATCTACTCGCTCAGCGTGAGGCTGATCAGCAGATTGCTTATGAAGAGCGTCAAGAAGGAGCGCGATTAAGTGTCAGCCGCCAGGCTCTTGCGCGCTGTAGCAGGTGTAGGGAGACTGGTCACAATGCACGTACATGCAAGAAAGATATCTTAGATAGTACTTAATCTACTATCTTAATATACAATAGAATAATTAACTTGTGGTGGAGCTACGCGCTTATAGAGGTGTATAAGTTTGGTGGGGTGCGGCGCTCGCCCGTGTGCGGCGCTCGCCCGTGGAACACGTTACTATTTTTAATTTTAATAAAGACTTTCTTTTATTTAGTATAGCTATTAGTTAACTTAGAAATTAATTAATTATATCCTATAACCCTACTATCTATCTAGCCTAATTCTAGCTCTCATTTCTAAGATTAATAAGCTTATACTTAGTACTCTTTATCTTAAGTATATAGTTTCTCTCTTAGATACTTCCTATTATATTAATATCTCTCTCTAGTATTATACTAGAAATATTAATATACTTATTAAAGTTTTATAATATAATACTATCTTAGTATAAAGTAATTAGTTAATCTATCTATAGAATTTAGTAGTAGTTAAAGTATTTTATAGAGTCTAGAGTACTAATACTTCTCTAGCTTAATCTAGATTAAGATAAGTGGAATTAGAATTAGCGCTATAAGAGTTATCTAGCGATTTTTAATAAAAAAGAGTTATAGATATAACTAAAGGTTTAATAACGCTAATCTATTTAATAGACTAATATATAACTATCTTATAAAGTAAAGATACTAATAAGAAAGTATAATTTAAGTTAACTATAATAAGAGTAAATAATAAAATCTATCTATTCTGATATCTTTATTACTTCTAGTCTTAGTATCTAGCTATATCTCTAGTATCTTAGATATTATTAGTATCTCTAGATATTCTAGTATCTTCTAAGAACTTAGTATCTCTAGATATTTTATCTTAGTAAGATACTATATTACGTAATCTTTACTCTATATTAATTATTACTTTCTAACGTAGACATCTATAGGCGTTTAGCTATCTTATTATTTATTAAGGAGAGAATCCTTCTTGTTACTTGTAATAAGTAGTTATAAGTAGGTAATATTTATCGCTAGAATTAACGTGGCTAGCTAGGCTATCCTACTATTTCTTATATTTACTAGTAAGTACTATCTATCTACCTAGTACGAGGAGGTAAAGGTCCCGCGCGACTAAGTAATCGTTATTAGTAATAATAGCTAAATAAATAATAAGCTAAGCGTTATATAGATAAAGTACTTTAACGCTTATATAAAGACTTATATTATTAGTATATATTATCTACTTTTCTTTAATAGTTATAAAAGCTACTAATCTCTTAAGTTCTAAGAGTTCTATTAGAAGAATAATATCTATACTCTCTATGTACTATCTTATTTATCTTATCTACTCTAGTCTCTTAATATTAGCTACTTCTTACTATTAAAGCGCGCGTATAGCTATAAGCTAGAGAGTCTAATCTACTACTATATTAACTATATTACTAAGCTTAAGTTTCTACTAGCGTTTAAGGTAGCGTTTAATTAATCTTTTACGCTAGCTAATATCTACTCTACCTTCTATAGCGTAGACCTTATTTCTCTCTAGCTAGATACTATTTTAATTAAAGCTTAACGTATAGCTATATACGCCTAGTTCTCTAGCTACTCTTATAAAGACTCTTTAGTAGGCTTATATACTAGGTAATATATATAAGCTAGAGTATTAATTAATATTAATAAATAAGTATATTTAAAAGTATTAGAGCTTATTATTAGCTTTAATTATTATAGCGATTAACTAGCTTAAGAAAAAAGCTAAGATAATAATACTCTTAGCTAAGCTAATACGTAATTAAATTACTAGCCTTAAGAAAGCTAATATAATAGTATTAGAGCGTAAAAAATATAAAAAAAAATAGATATAAAAGTATAAAGTTCTTATAAAGAGAGCTAGTAAGGATCTACTTACTTAGTATAAGACTAATTAGTAAATTACTTATAAAGAGTATTAAGAAGAAGAGTAATTAGATATTAGCCGCTAGGCTCTTATATACTATATTAGGTATAGAGAGACTAGTTATAATATATATATATAAGAAAGATATCTTAGATAGTACTTAATCTACTATCTTAATATATAATAGAATAATTAACTTATAGTAGAGCTACGCGCTTATAGAAGTGTATAAGCTTAGTAGGGTGCGGCGCTCGCCCGTGGAACACGTTATCAAATATTCCAATGCAACATCTCTCAGCCTCGTGAGTTTAACAGAACTAACACTTATTCACACCTTAAACGCCTGTACTAAAGCTAATACATTTACCTATTACTATAGAGACTTTATTTTTATAGCTTAAATCTCTATAAATCTAGTATAGTCCGTAGCTCTGCGTGCAAGACTATAGATCGCCATTAATCTAAAGAGTAGAAAAGCCGCCTACAGAGCTACTAATAGGTGTCGTTAGTATAGAGTATTAAATCTAAGTCAGAAATATCGCTATCTATAGAAGAACGATAAGCTAGGTAACTTACTTAGTAATTTAACTAATACTAGAGTAGGCTTCGCTAATGTAGTTCTAGTAGTTTTAGTTAGAATAAAAGTTAATTTAGCTAGTAGTAGCTAAACTAATGGCCGTAGCTACTATAAGAAAGACATTATTAAAATATATATTAGAAGATACTTATCTTTATACTTTATACTACTACTATTATAGATTATTAAGCGTGATATACTTAACTTTTATATCTTATCTTAAACTAGAAGCTATAAGAATATTAGATTAGTATTAAGCCTTACTTCTAGAATTAGTATTACTCTCTCTCTAAATTAGGCTAGATTAATATTATATAATAATTTTCCTAGCTTACTAAGTATACTTATAAGATATAGTCTTAAGTTAGAATATATTACGCTAGCTTAATTAGGTATATAATAGTAAGGTAACCTTCTAGATTTATAATTAAGAGTTATTATAGAATTATTATAGAGTAAATAAGTATACGCGACTATAGAAATAAATTAAGAAGGTATTAGCTAACTACTATATATAGAGGTTATACTATTTTCTTAATTACTCTCTTTTAGCTTAGTAGAGGCTATGCGGCCTTAGCTTCTATAGTAAGAGCGCGCTTATATTTTATCTACTTCTAGTAAAGAGACTTTATCTTAGGATAAGTAAATTTAATATTATGCTTATTAACTAAGACTTTACTATCATAATTCTCCTTATAGCACTATTTAAAAAGTTAGCGAGGTATTTTATATCTTAGTAGCCTATAGTACGTACGTTTATAGGTATATCTAGGTAAATCTATAAGTTCTATAAGTATTCTATTTTTAAAAAAATGATTTAAATTAAGCTTATATAGCCGTAACTTTTAGTACTAAGATAGTAGGTTAAAGAGGTGTTTCTATTATAGAAATACGCCTAGATAGTAGGTATTATAAGAGTAATAGTCGCGATAATAGTAGAGACCTTTATATTAAAAAATTAGTAGTATAGTTATTTAAAGACAGTCGCTATTTTAGTTTATTAGTTTCTATTATTAAAGTAGTAGATAGTTTAGAAAGGCGTGCTATAGGAGGCTTTATATATACTTCTCTTTAGCTATTACGCTCTATTATATTATACTTAGTAAAAATATTACTATATTTAGTACTATAATCTAGTTAATCTTAGTATCTTAATAGTCTACTAGCTAAACCTATAGCCTCATATTTATAGTAAAATAAATAAGCTAAGATAGAAAATTAAGAAAGTAAAGAATTATTCTAGATTATAAGGAGTCTATTATATCTAAAAGGCGACCTAGAAGCGCTAGAGAAAGATATTCTTAGCTAGTAGACTACTACTATAGATATATATATCTAGCTAAATTTCTATATTTTTCTAGAAAATTAATTACTTATATCTATATATCTTAGTGTCTTATAAGAGTTTCTTACTATCTAGAAAACCTTAGTTAATCCCTCTAGACTTTTATAGGTCTCTTAAACTTAATTTAAAATAGAGAAACTAGGTATATAATATAAAGAACTTTAACAAATATTACTTTTAATTATAGAGAGATAACTATACGATCTAAATATAGCTTTTATACTTATTTATCTCTAAAGAGTTATAATAAAATTAAAGTAGCTTTCTCTTTATATTTAACCTTTTTATCCTCTATATATAAATATTTTAACTTAATTAATAAGCTTTAGAATTATAACGTTCTAAAAGTTTTTACTTTAAAGGTCTCTCTATACGGCGGACTAAGCCTACTACTTAAACCTCTATTATCTTCTAGAAACCGCTAGACTACTATTATACTAACTAAGAGTATATTCTAAAAGATTCTTAAATTTTCTATAAGTATATACCTAGGTAGAATCTATATAAAGTTAGTCTAGAACTAGTAAATATCTTATTAGCGTAATAGTACCTATAGTAGTATACTATAGTGTCTACTAGATCTACTTAATATAATGCGCTATTAAGATTAGTAGAATATAAGACGTAATTAGGCTATGCTTATAATTATACTTAACTCCTCTATAATAATATTTAGAGTAGTACTTTAGATTAAGTTACTTTCTTAGTATATTCTAGGTTATTAGAGTTAGTAGGCGATAGTTTAGAGTTTAACTATAAGACTTATAAGGTAATAGAGAGTATAAAATACGTTAAATCTATAAAGTCTTTAGTATTTTTTATTATAGTTACGCTATCTAACTTACCCTTCTATATAGTCTTCTTTAATATAATCTTAATATTATATATAGCTAGCGCTCTAGAGACATTTAGCTTCGTCTTTAGAGATTAACTAGTAACGCGCTTTAGTAATTAACTTCTAGTTATAATCGATTTCTAGGCTTAGTAGTCTAATATATAGGGGGGCGTAGGGATCTAGTTAGAGTACTTCTATATATTACACGGGGTCTAGAGTACTAATACTTCTCTAACTTAATCTAGGTTAGAGCGAGTAGGATTAGGTTAGCGCTATAAGAGTTGCCTAGCGATTCTTATAGAAAAGAGTTATAGATATAACTAGGGTTTTAACAACGCTAATCTATTTAATAGACTAATATATAACTATCTTATTAAGTAAAAGATACTAGTAAGAAAGTATAATTTAAGTTA